ATCAATGGATTATAGGCCTCTAGAATAAATAGATGTTGTAAGGCCTATGTTGTTTCTGTTTATGCTTTTGATCTGTATTGAAAAAGACATTCCGACATTTTTAATATAATGAAAATACATTTCTTTGGAAATTCTTTGATAAATTCTTTATTATATTTTTGGGAACAAATTCAACAACATATTTCTTTAAAAGTATACTCTGGTTTTCAAATAAAGCATAAATAAATCTATCTTTTCTGATCGTGAAAATGGGGATGTCACACTTGGTGCTTGTATATTATGGACCTAAGTTTTGGAGGATGTTTGAATTCATATTTGAGAAATTACCTCCTTTATCTTCATGAATTACCTAGTTTAAGCTCAAGTCTTGTATTGAACATACAAGGCCTTAAAGCATAGATTTATGATCCTAGGAGCGTAGGAAGCCTCCTGGAAAAGATGGATTGATGGATTAACGGATTAAGAGGTTTTTTTTATCAAAATGGCGTACAACCAAATCTCACGACGTGATCCATAGATTTCACGTCATGAGGATTGTAAGGCCTACCTATTTTGTCTTGTAGAGGCTCATAGCGTAAGCTAAAGATGTCACATTGTGAGGGTCTGCTGACAGTTGACTTTTGTAGGCCATTAACCGTTGACCTATTGACCAAGTTTGACTTTGGGTTAACATTGAGGATTTTGGACTACTGATTGAGATTTTATCATGTTCTAGTGTCAGTGGATTCGTAGGAGTAAGCATTGCTGAAAAAGGGATTGTATTGTAGTGCTCAAAGTTCTTCGATTCATGTGAGTTTTGCCTCATTCCATTCTTTCCTAAATTCTCTCATACCATATACGAAACACTTACACTTACACTGACTACTTAAGTGACAAACTTTATGTAGAGATGATAAAAATTGGATAATCTCCTTATTCTAATCTCTCTATACTAATAATAATAAATAGTTCTTTTGTCATGTGTCACCATATTAGACCTCTTAATTAATGTGTTGTCACTTGTCAATCTATTAGTTCTCTATTTTAAATTTATTAGACATCCTCATTATTGTGATGTTATTTGTCAATGTATTTATTCTCTATTTTAAATTTTATATTATTGTTTTCATTAATTCACAAATAAAAATGGTCTAATATATATTAAAAATTAATTTTACATATTTATTTGAATCAAGGATTATAATTTCACATAACTAATAAAATATCTCTTAATTAATAATTTATTTAAAATAATTGATTAATAATTTTGAGCTTTTACTATAAACGTTTAATTGATTTTATAACCGTGGTTCGTACGAGTTATAAACTAGTAAATGAATAAATTTATTTTCTTATTGACAAGTGTCATACTATTAGAACTATTCATTAATATTATATATCACCTATCATACCACTTGTCAGCTATTAGTTATCAATTTCAAATTTCAAAATTCAAAATTCATTCTAATTACATTAAATTAATAATTGATTCTCCATTTTAAATTTTAAAATTTAAAATTTTTTATTATAATTATATTAGATTAATTACATTAGATTAAAAAATAAAATAAAATTAATATAGATTAAAATGTGATATAACTTTTCACTTATTTATTTAAATCAATAATTATAATTTTATATAACTAAAAAAATACATTTTAAGTAATAATTTATTTAAAATAATTGATTAATAATTTTGAATTTTTAATATAAACGTTTAATTAATTTTATAATCGTGGTTTTCAATTATTATAAACTAGTTAACAAAATATATGCATTCCTATGAAACTTCATACATATGCATTTTCAACTAAAGGAAGATTTTATATTCATTTTCTTATAATGATATGTAATAGGTAAAACACACATCTTATTTGACATTACAACAAAGAAAAGCTCTAAAATCGTATTTGGCAAAATTGGAATCTAAGCTGCCAATGAGATACAACATAAGAAACAAGTATCAATAAAATATAAATCTCGACAAAACTAACATAAGGATAGAAGCTCCAACATTCTTCTTTTAATATACTTACAAATACTTCAATATAATATGTTTCCCCCCATTGTCTTCAGCCTTGATAAGCAACATTTGTCAAGAAAATTGAAAATTACCCTCACTAAAATTTTCACAAAAAATGCAGAAATCAGTTCTGAAATCAAGAAAAAAAAGCTAGAAATCAATAATTGTATGAATCAGAAAATAAAAAAATAAAAAAAAAAACTAGAAATTAAGAAACAGACATACAAAAAACTAAGACTTAATAAATCAGGGAAAAAAAAACTAGAACTTTAAGTCAAAAATCGAGAAATCAGTGAAATCCAAAATCAAACTTAAGACCAATATCAAGAAATCAGTAAAACTTACTAAAATGGTGATCAATGAACTTCAAAATTATCAACAACAATCATCAGAATTCCACCATATTAGAGTCTTGACAATCAAAAATCGAAAATTAGAAATCGATTAGTAAGGCTTGATAATCAACAATCAAGCTTCATGAAATGAGTATAAGAAAGAAATCAGATTATCATAGACATTTAAGAGAAATTAGAAATCTTGAGCAGATGTGTTTAATCAATAAAAAGAGAAAAAAAATCACATTATCATTTCGTTTATTCGAAAAATCATAAATCATAAGTCCTGAGACAATCAACAATTGATGGCGTTTGAGAGACCGATTAGTCTTGAAATCCTAGTCGATTCTTGGAAATCTTAATCAACGTTTGATTAGGTTTTGGGGTTAATGACTTAGGAAGGTAATAAGGTTTTAAGTTTGTCCACATTAGGTCCTTAAGATTTTTTTTGTACATATTACACCAATATGGTTTGTTATAACCTTTTAAAAAGGTAATAATGTTTTAATTTTGTCCACATTAGGCCCTTAAGATATTTTTTTGTATATATTACACCAACATAATTGTTATAACCGTTTAAAACGGGATTATAAGGTTTTAATTTTGTCCACGTTAGGTCCCTATTTTTAATAATTTTATCATTTCATCTAACTCTTTTACAATTTATATTTGTATCTAGTTAGATGATTTTATCATTTCATCTTCTCATTTTAGTAGCTCATTCATTACAACCACGGTTTCATTTGAAAGGCTACGTAACAATTTTTTGTCAATTTTACAAAAAAAAAAGTATTAATCAAAATCTTAATGATTAAGTTTTGTTTGGCACGCCACAGCTAGCTGATAGACTACTTTACTTTTTCGATCATTTTTAAGTTATCATGTTTGGCAAACCAAAAAGTAGCTTATAAGTTAACATTTTAAAAAGCTACTTAGACTAGTTTTTTAAAAGTTTTTTTTTTTTTTTAATTTTCCCAATATACCCCTTAATTAATTAAAACAACATATTTTTTAAATGTTATTTTATGTCATTATATAAATTTCGATAACTTATAAGCTAGTGATGGTCAAAATAAACGAGTATCCGCAAAAAGTAATGGGGTATCCTCGATACGTCATCCCTTATCGGGAATAACACATTACTTGTCGGGAATACTGTTTTACTTTAATTTTTGACTCTGCCACTGGCTTATAAACTATCTGAAATTTATATAATGACATAAAATGGCATTTAAAAAATATGTTTTCTTAATTAATTAAGGGATATATTAGGAAATTAAAAAAAACTTTTAAAATACTAATCTAAGTAGCTTTTTAAAACGTTAGCTTATAAGCTACTTTTTGGATTGTTAAACATAATAACTTAAAAAAGATCGAAAAATAAACTAGTTTATCAGCTAGGTGTGGTACGTCAAACATATAAATGATAAAAAAAATTGTTATGTAACCTTTCAATTAAAACCATGGTTATGGTGAATGAGCAACTAAAATCAGAAGATGAAATGATAAAGTCATCTAACTAAATATTAATATAAATTATAAAGGAGTTAGATGAAATGATAAAAATATTGAAAATACAGACCTAATATGGACAAAATTAAAACCTTATTATCCATCTTTAAACGGTTATAACAACCATGTTGGTATAATATATACAAAAAAAAAAAAACCTTAATGACCTAATGTCGACAAACTTAAAACCTTATTATCCTCCTCGGTCATTAACCCTAGGTTTTGAAGTCCCACTCCCTCCTTTGGTGCTTGATGATTAAATTTGAGCCATTTTTTCAACTAATGGATGCTAAAAAATATGGGTTTTCAATTCTTAACCCAACATAACAACTCTAAAATACGGGCCTTTAGACATTTGGGGCGTGGGATGGTTACCCAGCTTGCCTAGGCCTATGGATCAACCCTATTAAGGGATAGAAAGTGAAAGAGTAAATAGTGACAATATGGGTTTTTCCTAGTTAATCCAGGGGTATAGCGGTATAGCCCCTGATTATGCTCTCACGCCCTAGTTAAGATGCTTAACTCGCAAAAGTTTTACAGCTAGAATTGCATACTCATACATCAGAGTTGCAAATATTTATAGTGTTTGTGGCTCTCGGGTTTAGTCATAACGTATGTTGTGTGCTTTTTGTAGCGGCGTATGATCTTATGTTGAGTATAGATTCTCCAACAAAATTGTGACCGTTGGATTTCGCCCAAACTTTTTCGTATGGGAACTGATTCGTACACAATATTTTTCTCCGTACACAACAATTTGTATTTTAAAATGTTGTATTTTACAACTATAAAATGCATAAATTGTTGTATATGATAAAAAACTGTTGTGTAAAAATCAATTCCCTTTTCAGATGTACCCTTTTCAGATGTGTTAGCTAGGTATCCACTATTTGATAACATTAACCAAATTTTATGATTTGCAATTATAAGGGATTAATTAAACAAATATTAAAACCAAAAACAAATTTGCAATTATAAGGGATTAATTAAACAAAAGTTAAGGTTCTAATATTTAAATTAATTTATCTCATTTATTTGTATTTTTCCGAACAAACCATTATATTAAAATTTTATTTTCCTAAACAACCGTTTACAATACAAAGAGTACGATCAACAAAATCACAGCTAATGAGCTAATAGTGCCACCGTCAGATCTAAGAACTCTCAGATATCTTCGCCGCTTCTAAATCAGCTGCCTTTTTCAGAAAACTCTGATCATCATCTTCCACCGCCATCTGAATCGGCGAAGACCCCAACCCATCGGCAATGGCGAGCATGATCTTCTTCATCTCCGACCTAAACTCCTCCAGATCAACGGTGCCGTTCTGGTCTTCATCGAAGCTCAGAAACACAGAATCGTAGAGACGCGTAAGCTCCTCCGGAGGCAAGGCGGTGTCAACTCCAAAGTGAGCTTCCAGCAACCTCATCGACTCAAAAGCCTTACGCATCTCGGATCTGGATAGAACGCCGTCGTTGTTGACATCGAGGGAATCGAACTGGCCGTCGACGCTGGTTTTGAACTGAGTTTCGTCGTTCACGAAGGCTCGTACGGTGGACCCGTCGATGATTATTACACCCATATCTATCTGTTTGAGAGAGAGAGAGAGAGAGAGAGAGAGAGAGAGAGAGAGAGAGAGAGTTGGTGAAACGTGTTTGCAGCACACAGAGTTGAATGGTGACGAAGATATTATATACAGTTACAAGTTAAAATATATCTGCAAACGGGAAAACATGTACGGTAGAGTTAGAGATAGATACACACGAATCATTTGAGTGATGGATAATTGGAGATATAAATTACTATAAATTTATCTAAAGTTTTTTTTTATTACTATTTTATTATTTTTTTTTAAGAAAAATATTCTTACAAGACCTTTTATATTAGATAAAAAGGATTTTAAAGTTTCTTGAGGTCGACGGACTCATTTATGTGTTGGTATATTTTTTTATAGTTTTATTTATACTATTTCTTTTAGTTATATTTTTATTTCTTATGATTTAAAATACATAAAAAAATCATTATATTTTATTTATGTTGCGCTTTAACATCTTAAAAATTAGTTTTATTAACGGAAGCCACCTAATCTTGACAATTTTTTCTATATCGATTACTTATTTGCTATGACCAATGATATGAAATGCTTCACCAACCGACCCAGATGTTGCGAACCCGACTAAACCATTTTGAGACGTTCTTCATACATGAAGCTACTCCATTTGTGGTCACCCACTCACGAAAACATTACTGGTAGATGTTATAGAAAAGATTATGGGTAACAAGTAGATAGTGAAAGTACCACATTCGAGTGGAGGATGATAAAACAAATGATCAAAGTCATGTACAGCAATCTTACAAGAAAGATTATTAGCAATCGAGATCCACAACGAGAATTTGTGATGACAAAACATTACTCTTCATGTTGGTTTTACGTTTTATGTATCGTATTTTAATTCCTTCGACAAGAGGACAATCTCCTTATGCATTTCTTATATTTGGATTTGATTAATAATAATAGTTGGATTCATTATTTTTCGGCTTGTTTATGTTTGATATTACTGACTAATAGATATAAGTTCATAATACTTATTGTCATATTGTTTGTTTGTCAATTTTGAAGTACAACATAATAATTATACTTATTGGATATCCGACTTGGATCTAAATATTATTCTAGAACCAAAGGATATTCGAAGTAACTTAAACCATTATTTATGGTTCCTTTGGATACTTGAATACTTGATTACTTTTTGAACTGCTGGCCAATGTTGAGTGTTAAGTCCTTTCCATAACATAATCAAATTCAAGCCTAGTGTTCATGGAACATCAAGAAACCAATATCTTTTGAGTAAGTCAAGCCTAGTGTTTATGGAACATCAAGAAATCAATATCTTTTGAGTAATCTAATTATAATGAATGTAACGTTCCACTTTCATAACAAATAATTATCATTTTAATTAAGGTAAGATTTCACAATTATAAAATCCATTTTAAGAAGAACCATTTGTTCCAATTTACATTTGTACAAAAATAAAATAAAATAGTGTAATATTATAAACATGTAATCCTCAATGATATTAATGAGTGTGTATAGTTACATCTTTGCATTCCCATAATCACTGATAGTACCCGAAACATAAAAAACTGGATAAACATGAAGCTTAGTGAGTTTCCCCAAAATACCACATGTAACACTCGGTTTTGGATTTGCTTCGTTGATTAGGGTTGCAACCCAGTCATCAGTTGTCATGAGGCTTAGGGTTTCGGGAAAGGAAGTATTTGGCCTATTTCGGATGTGGGTTTCATGGTATGAGTGATCCAAGTATTCGATTGTGTCTTCGAAAGCCAAGGGTATACTTGTAATTGGATATCTCGGTCTTTTATGGATTTAGGGTTCTGTTCAGGGGTTTTAAGGCTTGGGTGTGTTGTTAGGAGTGTATAGTTTCTCGCTACCTTTTCGAGGATATAAGGTTCGTTGGAAACGGACCTAGGATGAGGGGGTTATGGTATTTTGAAGTTATTGGCAGTTTTAGTCCCTAATGGAAATAATTTGCAAGGTAGTCCCATGCATGCAATGATGCATGCGTATGTTTGGCTGGGTATGCTCATCGTAGTTGGGGGTACGCCCAACGTAATGATGCACAAATGAATCGTGGATGATCAAGATGTACGCCTAACATACAAAAACTACGCCTAACGTAGTGTGTTGAGTTCCAAAACCCTAATTTTTAGGGTTAGCTCACTGTTTAAGCACCTTAAGTTCCAGGTGTGAGCCACTGAGCCTCCCTTTCTTCCTTCATTACCTTAAACCTTAATTTTGAGTTGTAGCTTCATTCAAGAGTGTTGTGAGCCTTGTATGTGCATTTTTGGTAGATTCTTGTGTAGTTCAAGAAGTTGTAGCTTAGTGCAAGGTGGTAGTTCAAGGAAAGGCTGGTGGATCTGGACTTTCTGCTACATTTTCAGCTTATTGAAGGTAAAAAGTTCTTAGCTTGATCATTAGAACTTGCAATCTATGATTGTATGGGATTTTGGTCCCATTTTGACCTCTTGAGCAAGGTCTAGTGGATGGAGACCACTCCAGGAGCTTTGAGTTGCCACACTTAGCAGATCTGAGGTTATAAGTTTATAAAAATGCTTGCTTGATGCTTAGATATGGTCTATGTATATTATAGATGGATTAATATGAGTATTATTAGGTTAAGTTGGTCATTAGGTCCCTCTGAGTCATGTAAATGTATAAAGGTGCCGACTTTATACATTAGGAGCTTTATTTTGAGGTTTCCTGAAGTTTAAACGCAACGTGCTTAATCGGTTAAGCCATAAATTGAGTTTGGAGGATTTGCGGTTATGCCCTGCGTAACTAGAGGTACGCCCAACATACCTCTTCTTTGGTCGCGATCCAGATTCCTTGAGTACGCCCAGTGTAAGCTGAGCGTACACCCCATGTTCGTGGTCCTGTGGGCCTTTGGGCTTGTTTCATGTTTGGGCTTCAGCTTTGGGTTGAGTTTTATGTGTTGGGCTTTTGCTCAGCGAAATTTGAGAGTTTTGGGACTTTTGGTCATGTCTAGTTGGGTTAAGATTTTGTATTGGGCCTTGGTAGGCCCAATGGGTTTGGACCTTTGGGCCAATGAAGAATTATTATTGGACCAAGAATTGTTGGGCTTTTGGGTAAGGCCCATATGGGGTTGGATCCAATTTGGAAAATTGGGTCATTAATGGGATTTTATGGATCTTATAGTTTTTGGCCTTGTTAGTTTTGGGTTTGGGCCTTGGTTTTGGACATTTTTTTTATGCACGCTCTTGGTTTAACGTAAATTACGACTATCATTTAAATCGCTAAGGCTAATAAACACTTTATCGTAAATTCATTTTTTACGTCATACAGTGTCATGTCGATTTTGTCGCGAAACTTCGACATGTCATAACTTTTTCGTTATAACTTGGATTTCGGTATTCTTTATATCTCTGGAATCCTTGTTTCAACCACTACAACTTCCTTCATAGATATCGGGTTTATCTAACATTTATTACTGACGCTTATTTTTATCCTTAATTTATTAAATCATAATAATTAAGTATAAGCACATAATACTCAAATAATACATCTTTATTATTTTAAAACAAGTTACAAAGGTTGACCTAAACTATTACATCATCATTAATGCCCAGCCTATAAACATGGAACTTACAATTCTCTCCCCCTTAGGATGATTCCGTCCCCAAAATCATACATCAGTAAACAAATGCGGATAGCGACTCATCATGTCACTCTCCATTTCCCAAGTGAGATTTGGTCCATTCGTATGTTTCCATCGCACAAGCACTAAATCGACCATCTTACGTCACAAATTCTTAGTCTTATGATCAACAATTGCCTCTGGTTCTTCAATTAACCTCTTGCTTTCATCAACCTTAATTCAGAAATTGGAATTATGTCGGGAACTTCTCTCGTGAACTTCCTCAAATAACACATGTGGAAAGTGTTACGAATACCATCTAGTTCTTCTGGTAATTCTAGCTTGTAAGCTTGGTTCCTAATCTTCTGAAGAACTTTAAACAGTCCAAAAAACATTGGACTCAACTTTCCTCTTTTACCAAATCTTATAAGTCCCTTCCATGGCAAGACTTTAAGTAAAACTGAATCTCCAACTTCAAATGTTATCGGTTGTCTTTTCTTGTCATCATAGCTCTTTTGACGATCTTGAGCGGCTAACATCCTTTCCCTAATCACTTTCAACTTTTCAACAGTCTGAAGGACTATCTCGGGTCCTATAAACTTCTTTTCTCCAACTTCAAGCGAACATGACGGCGTTCGACACTTTTTTCCATACAAATCTTGATAAGGTGCCATCTTGATGCTCAAGTGGAAACTATTATTGTAAGAAAATTCTACTAAAAGCAAATGTTCATCCCAATTACCTTGGAATTCCAGGGTACATGCTCTCAACATATCCTCCAATGTTTGAATCGTTCGTCGCTCTGACCATCAGTTGGCGGATGGTATATTGTACTTAAACACAAATTCTAACCCAATGCCTCTTGTAGACTTCTCCAAAACCTTAACGTGAAACGACTATCACGATCTGATACAATCGTTAAAGGAACATCGTGAAGTCTTACTATCTCCTTCACATAAGCATTAGCAAGTTTAACCATAGACCATTTTTCATTGGCTGCTATGAAGTGTGCACTTTTAGTAAATCGATCAACGACCACCCAAATCATGTCGTGGCCACTTTTTGTTCTGGGCAGTTTAGTCACAAAATCCATGGTGATGTCTTCTCATTTACCCATGGGTATAGGTAAAGGTTCTAAACTCCCATACAGTTTCTGATGTGGTGTCTTAACCCTCACAAATTTCACACACTCGACCACATACTTTGCAACATCGAGCTTCATCGTCGGCCACCAATAATAGGGTTTCAAAACCCTATACATTTTTGTGTTGTCGGGATGAATTGAGTACATGGTCTTGTGAGCTTATTCCATCAAAAGATCTCTTATTCCTCCTATTTTAGGTACCCAAATCCTATCTTGGAATACCTTCAGTCCTTGACCATTTGTATCGAACACTAACGTTTT